GAGTAACGGTTGAGACGCAGAAGGGGAAGGCTTTCACACAGCCAAAGCAAACACACGACGGGGCTGAAGAGCTATGAATCCCGTAACTAGTGCGTGTGGCTAGTGCTCGGGTAACCAAATCAGAACATCAAATGGTGGTAAGAAACAATTTTAAATCATTTTAGGGGGTGTTAGCTTGGAGTTTCAGATCTTTCTTTTTCCTGTTATTTATTTATTTTTACCAGTTTTACATCTTAATGTAGTCAGCATGGCACCAGGGCCCCCTCACCACTAAAATTGGCTACTTGTGTAACTACATTTCGAGAAGAAATCTTGCTGGTTAGACTGAGAGATTAGAAGTCTCCTAGCACATGTGAAACAGATTGGTGCCCTAAGTTCTCTCAGAATGTATGAACTGTGAAGACTCTTCTACAGCAGAAACTGCAGATCATGTTAAAATTCAGTTTGAAATATAAATGGCGGTGCTGTTTATGAGCACAGTGATTTTGACAGGCTGGTCTTCCACCATTGTTCAAGTGTGCAGAGCATCAGAACAAGGAAGCCTGGACTGCCAGATGACACGCCTGACAGCATCTGCCTGGGTGGCAGGGCTGTCTGGAGGGGTCGTGCAGGCAGAACAGAGTGCAGCCCGTGACTCCCGCTTTTGTCACCTAGGTTAGGTTATGACAAAGAAACAGACCCCTACGAATAATCCTGAGAGGTGGGACAGCGCCCCTCCCCTGAAGCAGCTGCTCATTGTTTTGCCATGTCTGAAGTTCTCTGCAGTACATTTATTCTTGGAAATCTGTTTTGCTCCACTGAAGCAAAGAGCAAAAGAATTGAGAGAGACAACTCGATTAGAAGAGGTGAGCTCAGATGTATCACTTAGCTGCCGCACCTCCCCTCCTACTCATGCAGCATGGGGGGCTGGGGACAGTTCGGAGACGCAGGAGCCCAGGTTCTGCAGAAGAGCAGATTCCTGGTCTAGGGAGAAATGAATAAAACAGACAAACCACTTTGCTTCGTCCACAGATATATGGGTTGTCACTGCAGCCGTGACCTTAGAGATAGCCATTAAGCCTCCCTGCATTTCTCGTGTCCCTTTGGTTCTATCATAAATTGAGATCATGACATTATGAGAGTATTTATAGAGTTAATAATTTCCCGCTCTCATCTGGGTCTTTCTTTCTTTAAATTTCCTGCCAGGACTTAGAAGAGGCCATTTGGAATTTGAGAAAACATCCACAGACTTTTTTTTTTTTGAAAAGCTAAGCTCTTCCTAAATTCATACATCCTTTTTTATTAATAGATGTAAATTTGAAGGGGAAATACCATGTACTACAAGCCTTCTGGGAATAGTCCACCTCCTAAGGATGACTTTCAATTTCCATGGCAGCGCGTGGGTCCTGAGAGCCCTGGCTCGGAGCTCCTCCGTGCCGTCTGCTGCAGGCTTCCTTGCATGAGCTCTACGTGCATTTTATGAAGAAACGCAGACATGCATGGAGTAGGCGACCTCGCTACAGCTATCTGCTCTGTCAAGTGCTATTGGCAGATGCCCAACAATTGATTGACACTTATCCTCCAGAACTGGAGTTAATTAATATGTCCACCAATTCCCAAGTGGACCACAGGAAACAGAAAATCTGTTTAATACGGCAATCAGTGACATACTGTGTGTGGTCAAAAGCCGTTCACTGGGCAGCAAGATGAGATTTTAGGATGTACTGTTGAGGAGTGTATACATTACTATTGAAAAGCTAGAAGGGAAAAAGAAGTCTGTTTTCCTAACTAGAAAGCTAAGTGCAGAGATTTTGGTAAGTGCTTTATCAGGACTTGAAAGGAAGTTTAATTTTCGCATACAAGTTCCAGAGAAATCACATAATAAAGCGAGACTTGATTTGCTTCAAAAGTAAACTGAAGTCTTTACTGCTTGATTTTTACTTCTGGGTCATTTGCCACCTTGATGTCAAGTTCAAAATCGTATTTTTTAACAGCGGTGTAAAGATACAATTATTTGGTATATATGATTGACAAATGCTTCTTAAAATCAACTCACATTTCATCTTATGGGGCAGGTACAGCAAATATACATGCAATTCCTCAACTAGAATTTAGGAGGCAACTGTGCCTGTCGGAGAGCGCCCTGTGCTTACAGTAAAAGCTGGTGTACCCGCACTTTGGGAGCGCTTCCGGGCTCCCTCCAGCTGACGGTGCTCTGCTCCGAGCTCTGCCAGCTTTCATTACTGCCTCTTTCCGCGGCAGTGTGAGGCGATCTTGTCACTCCTGCTCAACTTCACAGGCAGCATAATCTTTTAAAGCCAAAGGCAGTAGTTTAAGTACTAGTATAGATCAATCTAAAGCAGGTTATTTCATAAAGCAGCTTAGGCACTAAAAATTAAACTTGATGGAGTCTAAGCGAGCGATCTTGGTAATGTCTTCTCCAGAATTTCCTAGATTGCCTGTCTAGACTGCTCTCAACCCCCAGGCAATTGCATAATCTTCTTCCTCCTGACCTCCTCGACAGTCTGGAATGGCATTTCCCAATTTAGAGTTGTCAGGCAAATCAAAGCCACACAGCTTCTGAGAGAGGGCCTTTCTCCGGAGGTCGGCATTTCAGAGTCTCGGGAGGACGCTCACAGCCAGCCTCCCTGCAGGAGCTCCAATGAGAAGCACGATGGGTTCCTCAAGGGAGGAGGCTGGGCAGCAGCAGGCTCCACTTGTCCAGCACCATGACCCCCTGCAGGCAGCAGAGCTTGGCTGCAGACAGTGTGGGGTGCTGACTCTGTCACCCAGAAAGCTCAGAAGGAAAGGAAAACATTATGGAAAATTACGAAAAGGACCACCAGCATATGGGGTTTTATTATAAAGGACCATCAGGACGCTGTCAGTCTCCATTTTTCACAGAGGGTGAGTGCGGGTAAGTGCAGAGTCACCCGGCCCTGTAGTGCCGCTGCCCTCACTCGACCACCTCAGGTGAAGTGGGTGTTTCAAAGGTAAGGTGCCAATTACTCGCAAGCTGAACAGCAGCGGCTTTCAGCCGAGGGCAGATTTGCATTTTCTAATATTACCGGCCCTTCTCCAGCTGGCCGAATGTGTAGATGGTGCTGACCCCGCACACAGTGGCAAGGCCAGTTCTCCTTACGACTTCCCAGATCAGAAACGGTGAACACAAATGCTTAGCTCCAGGCCCAGCTTGCCCTGACTCACGTCGGACAGAAGCCTGAGAAGGAGGCAGAGCACCGGCCTTCCACAGGGATGGGCTTAGCACCGGCGGCTGTAAAACAGCCGCGTATTTAGAATATGTGGACACTGAGGATGAGACAGCCTCACTTTGTGTTTCAGTTCTGCTGTATATTACTAGACAATCTCAGAGAAGCTCAGGGACTCTGCTCTGCCTTTGGTGTGGTGTAGAGCAAGCCCTGGGTCTGCCATGGTGCCAGAATTCACCTCTGTCATTCTGGAGGGCCGGGAGCTAAGCATCTGAGATGGGCAGCATGGATGGGCAGCGTGGGCAGCTCCAGGGTCCTCAGCCTGGGCCCCCCCATTCTGAACACCTGACTGACGACTGGAGGTGAGGAGCGAGGAGGCAGCATTTAGTCAGAAGGTGGGAGAGGCCTTACTGCATAGATCCCGGGTCCATTGGCATGAACGTGCTCCCAACTTCACCAACCTTAGGCAGGGGATATAGGCAGGACCTGTTTTCTTAACATCACTTATTATTATTATTTTTTTTCCTGCAGAACTGGGGATTGAACTCAGGCCCTTGTGCTTGCCAGGGAAGCGCTTATTCCACTGAGCCATCTCCCTGGCCCCATCACTTGTTATTTAAGAGGCTTGCATGTGTCAAGGGAGATACTAAAGGTGGTTGTGAGGATTCAGAGGCGAGGAGGACAAGAGTGAAGACAGGAGGAAGAGAGCAGAAAGAGTAAGAGGGAGGAAGAAGGGAGGAGGAGCAGGGGCAGCAGGAAGGTCACAGTGGGGCCAGGCCTGGGAGAGCCACGGGGGCCCTTGGGAAGGGCTTGCCACACTCTGGGCCCACTGGAGAAAAGCCTGGGCTGACTTCACCAGGCACACAGCATTTGGAGGCCACCTCCTTGAACAAGGAAGCCACCTCACCACCGCTTGTGGCCAATGCGCTCAGGACACACGCGCATCTCCCTGGACACCTTGAGAAAACCCAGGCAGAGAAGCTCCGATCCAGTTATAATAAAGTGACAAACATGCAGATTAGATCTTATCTTTAGAATTCCAGAAATACTCCCCGAACAAGTCCTGTTTTTGCTTAGTATTTCTGAATTCCAATTTGGAAGAAAATGCTGTCACCAATGATAGTCTCACCACAAGAACATGCTTGTTCTTCTTAGGGTTGAATGCCCAAAATTATAACCTGGTTTCCACTGGAGGCTGACTGGTAACCCTGCATCCCCAAACTATTCTCAGGAGTAGCAATGCTTCCTTCATACTACTATTTACTTAAACCTAACCATATAATGCCTTCACCAACTTTCTGCACTAAAATCAAAAGCAGTGGGTAATTTTTAAAACAATTTTCTGTGCCATTGTAGTAACTACAAAAGGAAAGCTCAGTGGAAGAAGAAGAACATACTAATGGGAACGCCTGGCCCAGCGTGAGCCCGGACCTCTGGCACAGGCAGGCTCCACCCCAGGTGGAAGGGACCAGGGTGGCTGCCTCTCCTGGCTGAGGAGGGACGTGGGGAGTGGGCAGGGTACAATAATGGCAGCAACAGCACACACTCAGCCGGGGCACCTGCTGCCCACATGGAGCAGCTGAGCTCTGCCCCCAGGGAGCAGCGGGCGCGCCCTCCTTCATCCCGCTCATGGTGCTCACGGAGCAGTGCCTGGTCCCCTTTGTACTCACATATCAAAATTAATAACAGCATCTGAACTGGAAGTAGCCCACCAAAGAGCGACGCAGATGCTAGCTGAGCTGCAGAGATGAGCAAGGCAGCGAGGGAAGGGGGAGAACAGAGGGCAAACACCATCTTTAAAGCGAGCTTTACCTCAGGATGGTGTCCAACTTCAACATAGGTGCAAATCGGGTGGAAGGCCCCGGTCCCGCAGGCGTACAGGTGAGTCTGATTGTAGGCTTTCAGCAGCTTGATGAAATTAGCGCATTCTTTCTGCAAAACAAAGGGGAGGCCACGGTGAGCCCTGCTGTCTCGCTGAGCTGCCCTCCGGGCACGTGGCATGCCCCCACAGGTTCCTCCTGCAGCCCTCTTGCTCTCCAGGTGGCAGCGGCTGGCTTCTGAGTGCCTTGCTTTGGCATTACTCTGCCCTTTCTCGCACATAGGATTTCTTACCTTTGGGGCACAGCGCAGCATGTCTTTGCATCATTGTTTCTCTGATATCGTGTTTAGCGTTGATAAAAGAGGAATGAAAGTTTCTAGATAAGCAATAATCATGGGAGAGTCTTCCAGAAATGAAAACACTAAGTCATGTATGTAACTAACTACCTGCACAAGATCATGGCGAACATTTCCTTGCAGAAATGAATGTGAGTTTAATTATAGATAAAGAAAACAAAGACAAAAGATACTATAAATTTATACTAAACATAAAGTTTAAGCAAAATTAGAAACTCATTTTGGAAAATTGTAGATGAATATTATATGCTAAACAATAACAAATGCATGGACAAATTTCTTGATATTGTACTAGACTAAATGCTCAGTCTTTAATCTACATTCACTTAAAGTGCAGCACCAAGTAAAGAACTAGAAATGAAGATAAGGTCTAAAAGCAGAGTGAGCAAAGCTGGAGGGCTGGGTTGGTTCTGATGTCTCTCCCTCCATGCATCAGGCCACCGGAGCTCCAGGAACTGTGACCTGTCATGTGCCAGCCACGTGCTAGCCACGTGCCAGCCACGTGCATCTATACTGACGTCATGGGCCAAAGCTCGGAACTCAGGCACTCCATAATTTGAATACATTGCCATGCGACAGTTCCACTTGTGTAACTGGTGAGTTTGGTCTTAAATCTATTGGCCCCCAAATAAGAAGTAGACCAACCAACCTGAACAGAATAGTTAGATTTAAATTCAAGGAACTGCTACTGGCCATGGTATGCTTTTCTGGGATGGAACCGGCTGCAGTCTGAGCATATGGTACTGAAGATGAATTAGGCCTATTTAAAGTAGGATGTGAAAGGTCCAAGCCACGACTTCTTGTGCTTTCTTCACATACGACGGGTTCCTTTCTGCTCACCCTTTCTGGGAAGGGCGGTAACTAAAACAGAGTTTTTCAATGTTTTGTCAAATAGATCCTGTCTCTTTCATCTGGCAAGGCAATGTAACATAAATTAGGCTCTAAAATCAGTTGCTATTGAAAGTTGTTCTGAGAGAAGAAAGATGTCGCAGCCCCAACGTAGGTGAGCTTTTCCTTACTGACACTGAGCAAGGCGCTCGCGGGTGAAGCTGTGAAGCAGCCAGCCTCGCGGCCGTTACTCTCGGCAGCAAGGTCTCCATTCTGTAAGTTTCTCCTCTTTCCCCAAGAGGACCGGGCGTGAGGAAAGAGCTTGTGAAGGGGAAACATCTGATAAGCTCATTTACAAACGAGGCACTCGGAGTCCAACGGCGGATGCATTTGCCCTCCCTCAAAAGTTCTGTCACTTGCAAAGGAGCTGTTGTCAGAAAAATCTTACTGCAAAGCGCGCAGGTGGCCAGGATTCTGCTTTTCCAGCAGAACTTACGGCTCACTGTGGGCTCTGCGTTAGCATCTTCAAGAGGACCGGTAATAGTTCCGGTACGGTAGGCCACTGCCGGCAGCAAGAGCAGCTCTGCATACACAGGTGAGCAAGTGGGTTCCCTCATAAGTAACAGTGGCAGGTGTGGGTGGGTGGCTTGCTCATTTGGGAAAGGAAGAGGGTTCAGTTTGCCAGACTCCCTGCAAAGAGGTGCGTGTGACCACACGACTCCAAGTTCACTGCCGCCGCCGCATCATCAGCAGGCCTCCCGGGAATGTGTGAGTTCACCTTCACTCCCTGCGCTCAGGAGGGGAGCCTAGGGGCAGAGGCACTGATGAACCCAAAGGGGCGCTCCTGCCGTCTCTGCAGCTGGCAACAGCCGACTCTGTGACTCTGGGCCACCTTATTGCTCATGGATTAGACAGCTCAGTTGTAATTTTTCAGTGACAAATTCTGCCCTTCTGAGCCAACAGGCAGGTAACATTTATCGCAAGAAAGAACTTTTCTAGCTCTCCAGAGCCACAGAGTTGGACCACACCAACTGTCAACATTTCTCTTTTTTAACTGATAAAAAGGGCTTGCCATCCTAGACAATCATCCTGCAGAGCCCCTGCAGCAAAGTCAGTCCAGGACTAAGGCTGAGAAGCCTGGCACAGGCTCCGGGGAGAGGCCGGTGGAGAGAAGGCTAGCCCCCTATGGGCCAGACCCACCCTGTTGGCTCCAGGCCTGTCCTGCTTCCTCCTTCCCACTGAGAACCAGCTGGCAGCAGGTTGTGTTGTTGCTATGCCTGGGGGTGGCTGCGATTCTGCTTTGAAAGTGAAGGTTGCTGCAAATAGAATGGGGAGAAATTTCTTGGGCTCAGAGTGAAAAAGGATAGTTGAAGACAAACAAAAGAATGGAAGGAAATGCTTTGAAAACTGGTTAAAATAGCTGGGAGGAGAATAAGCCACAACAATGGGAGAGGAAAGTGAATGGAAAGAGCTGGAAGGAGAAGAACAAAAACTTGAAAGAGACATGCAAGGAGGATTTGTTCTGAGAGAAAGCCCACAGAAGAGAGTATCAGTCCCACCCTTCCTTTGCCCTCCTTCTCCAGCGTGGCTGCCAAGGTTTCTGAGTGTTCCAAAACAGGATATTCATTTTGTTTGGAAGCAACTGTGGACATTCCTCTAAAAAAGAAGGAAGCGTGGCACAAAAAGGAAACACACTTCACACATTTTTGCTCAGGGGAGACGGAAGACGAGTGCTTCTGACCTTTACTTGAACTGTGACGTGTCTTCCAACTCAGAATATAATGCACTTCTTGGCATTAAGCTAAGGCACCGCTCTCCTCAGCCCTGGCGGATTTACAGCATAATAAAGGCAGTGTAATCAGTTCGAAATGAATTCATTTCTCAAGCCCTGATCCTTTTTGGAATTCAGGTTGATACACAGAGGAGTTTAACCACAAATCGGCTTCCCAGGAGTCAGGCAGCATATTGACCTCTGATTTTACTGAAATGCACTCCAGCTCAGCAGCAGAATAAAGCATTGGTTTGGAGTAGGAGTAAAGGTAGCTCTATAAGCCAGTAATATCCGAGGCCACAACGGCAGGGCAGCAATTCTTTGTCTTTAGTGACGAACCATTTGCACATAGTTGTTAGAGGTTTTCTAATCTTTTTGATCAAATGGAGGGAGGAAAATAGGAATAAAAATATTAGTTTGAAAGAGAAATATCTATTATCTGAAGAGGATTTAGGAGCCAAATTCACGGAGTGATTCACAAACAAACACTAGAGACGCGCAGTACTGATGAGACGGCGGTGCCCAGACTTTTCCTGGATGGTTACAAAAATAAAATCCGTCCATCTGTCAAAACAACTGCTCCATGCATGGAAAGCACAACAGAACTGAGGTGTTTTTAACTAACTTCCGATAATTACACTTTTTACAGAAGAATAGAATGTTCCTGTACTCCCAATTACCTCCTTCTGTGTTCCTAAGTTATGGGGAGCGCAATGGAATTTTACTCTCCATAAAGAAGGAGGGAAACAAACCAGGAACGTGAGCAATCTCTATTCAAATATATGCAGATATGATTGAATCAAATGGCTTGCTCTGGTTCAAATATAAGGCAGCCCAGAATGAATGAGCAGCATTGCCTCAGGTTGGTGAGCATTCATACACACACACACACACACACACACACACACACACACACACGCAAAGTCCCGCCCTCAGTTGTAGCTCGTGTGGAAATGTTTCGATGCGTGCTCTGGCAGCTGGGAATGCAAAGGAAACCTTTGCTATCTTATGGGTAGATATATTTCTGCATGAAAATCCATTAATAAGCTTAATTCCTGCAGCTAATCTGTTGACTTTCTTATTCTCTGGTCAATTTCTTTGGCAAGCTTGCTGAACACCGGTCTCTTCGTGCCAAAGCAGTAATCCCTGAGATTGTTGCTGTCACTCACACGATCCCTCCCTCTATTTAACATGGTCCACACTCAGCGGGCAGCAGATCTTCCATCTTAATTTTTTATGGTTGTTGTTTGAGAGGTTAAAAAGTCCTGAAAGAAAGTTGGGGTCATTTTGTGGCTAGCTATTTAAGCAAGTAAGAACATGCACATTGTGAGAACTGAAGAATAAGTACTAAAATGCGTGAGCAAAATCGTAGCATGAAGGACAGCTCCTCTAGCGAGCTTCACAAGTACTTTCCCTTACTCCTTTCAGCTAAGCGCTCAACTGGACTCCTTTCGCACCCCTTGCTTCACTCTTCCGACGGTGTAGAAGTACTGCTTGAGATTCTGAAGTGGGTTTCTTCCCGAGTGCTTCGACCTTCAGGTGTGGTTGAAAGCCTGCACACACACTGGCACTGCAGACCCTGGTGTTGCCCGTGTGACCAGCGCCATTCGGCCCTTCCCTTCTGGGTTCCAAGTGACCCCGAACGGTTTCACTTTGGCATCCCATGGCACCAGAGGAACTTGATTGCAGTTTAGAACTGCAATTCACAATTTCTATGAATTATCATAGTCTAATGAATCATCATATTCATACGAAGAGTAGTCACTTGATTATCGTCCATTACAAGGTAGTTAACATAAGCTTTTTTTTCATCTCACATTGCAATGAATGAATGCAGATTACTATAAAATGTAGCATGAGGTCTGCCTAAATGTTTTTCTTGTAAAAGCAGGATGTTATGGCTGTGCCCGGGTGTCCTTGCAGGCCTTGTGCACTCTAGGCAGGACTCCTGGAGGTAACTAGGGGTGGGGCTCATAGCCAATTCCCGGGTAGGAGGTGAGGTCTGGCCGTGAGGTCCAGCCCGAAGAGGGGGCCCCTGGGCGCTTGGCCTCCCAGGTGTCCTCCCTCCGCAGGTTCCCTGCGCTCTCGCTGCTTCCGGTCCTCCTACCCTGAGCAGCTCTCCTCTAGCTAGGCTTTCCACCGAGACATCCTGCCTTGA